ATTTTAACCTTAAATCTTTAATCTTACAAGGTTTTCTATAGATATTTTTTGGTAGAATAAGCATTTGAGGATTGTCTAATTGCTGCCTAAGCCCACAACCGTGCTGTCACACGAAGGGACAGTGCCCACTCCCCACCGTTCCCATCACTGGCCCATCAAGGAAGGCCGCGAGTGTCCTTCGGGTGCCTGACCACGCATCGTGTAACGTCAGGCTGCTGGGGGCCAGGGGCTGCTCCCACCTCTGTCCCTGCCCGTGGCCGGCCGAGCGCTCCCGCTGCTTTCCTTGGCCAGCGCCCATGGCGGTAGGCCCGCCGGCTGAGCTGCTGCCTGACGGAGCAGCACACCAAGGAGATGGGGAGACCGTTGTTTGGCCGGTCACTTTTGTGAACCAGGTCGTCACACAGCCCTGGGGTTGCTTGAGCTCATGCGCGGGGAAAGGCAGAAAATGTAGCAAAGAGAAACCTTTTGATTAGCAACATGGGTTTCTGTCAGCTGAAACTGGTAGCAAAACACGTTTAGCTTTTGGGGACTTCAACCTACAAATGTATTCTTTTGCTCTTCATTGTTCTCTTTTTGATATTAGTGGTTTAGCGTGGATGCAACAAGCAGCCAGAGAATGTCACACCCATCTCTCCAAAGCCTGTATACTAGTTTTACCTTTTTTTTTCCTTTCTGTTTCGATATATTCAGTGATCACACTAGCTTATTCATATGATGACACAACTCATGTTGAGCAGCTTTTCTGCTGTTTTTTTCAGCAGTCCTTTTATAGATACTGTTATAAATTCTCGTTAGCACATGTAGTGTAGAGCATATTTACCTTATGTACATATTGCAGTGTATCAACAAGTATTTTGTCTGAATGGGTCCAGTATACAAAGTGACTCAGATTTGGTTTTATTGACAGTTCTGCCATCCCCTCCCCCCAGGTCTGACTGTTACCATATGCTCCATCCTCAGTTACTTTATGTTTACTTCTGGATTCTTGATATTTTTTTTTTTTTTAAAAAAGCATAGCATTAAGCCTACGCTCACCCCCACAAAGCTATTTAAAACATTCAAACAGTAATGATTTCCCACTTGCAACTCCTCCTTGATTTGTCAGCCTAGTTCTTCCTGTGTTTGTGCTTCACTGATCTTCAGCAGAGCTATTTTTAATATGCTCTGAGAAGTCAAATGTCTTACAAAAGTCTAAGCAGATCATGTCTGTCTAATGCCTGTCATACCTGATTTCCTTTTCTGATGAGATTACAGGACCAGTTTTCCCTAACACTGTATTGACTAGCATAAACTATTTTTCTGTCCAGAGAGCTCATTAGTTTAGGAAAGGCATAGCAAGTAGTTGTTGGAAGCTAAATTCAGATGCATATTCAAATTAGAAGTAAGGTGATTTTTAAACAGAAAGTAATCAACTATTGGAACAATTTCCCTGGGTATCTGACAGACAACTTATTGTTGGCAGGCTGGAAATGGTACTAGTCGTCTGACATAGGTCTCTTTCAGCAGCAAGGTGTGGACTTGCTGCAGGAGATACTGAGTTGGGATATTGAGGTTAAACTTGACCTGTTTAACCTGACTGCATTGATTGTGATAATTAATAGTAGATTCTAAGGAAAAGTGGAAGCGTATGTTAGTAGAATGGGTAAGTTCAGAGTATTACAGGCAATTCATAAAGTACTTGCGTGCTGAAAGCTGCCTTTCTGACCTGTGAAGCAGTCTGTCACCCAGTTTTGCCCTCTTGGGTAACCCTGACCCAAAGGGCAGATGGTAATCGCAGTTCAGCGGAGCTTCCTCTGCCCCGCTGTGAACGGTGGGTTTCGTTTCCGGGACAGGCACCTGCATGGATGTGAGCTGGCTGCAGGTTCCCATGTGGACTCCTTCTGCTCCAAGCAGTCTTCATGTCTCTTCTGAAGTATTCCGTCAGATGGATGGAAGACTGCTGCCTGTGCTTCGGATAGAATGGAAAGTGGCCACTGATGGTAAGTGGTGGTTGTTTAATGTGAACGTGGAGCAGAGGAATTGCGTGTGATCTGCTGACAACAGGGAGGAGAAATGGCTTGAAGTCTCTCACCAATGGAGTCATGAAAGCAGACCTTTGAAATTTGGGGGGTTGGTCTCTTCATCTTGTTTGTTTTGGGGGATGTGATTTGATTTTTGTTGATGACTGAATCAGGCCCAGGGTCTGCTGGGTATTTAAGAGTTTAAAATGCTTCCCCTAGTAGAAGATAATGACATTTAAAATGGGGAAAGCAGATAAAAGGCTCACACCTTTATCACGGTAATGAGGAGAGAAAAGGGAGTTTGCCTGCAAGCATTGCCTTTTCACAGCATGGTAATGACTGCAGCAGTCTCATGCAGGAGAATTACATCTGTGAACTGAACAAAGGAGAATTAATTTGAGAGCGCACAAATAAATTATGTGCTGTTAACCCAGGGCAAGTTCCTCCTGCTTCGGGTAATCTAGCCTTTGTAACTTTGGTTCCCTGTGTGCACATGTGTCTTGATAAAGGAATAATTGTCTCTTTGTTGGAGCCTAAATGAGTACCAGTAAGTGAATTTTTCTCTTTCTCCAGATATCTTTGTTTGTATATGATGCTTCCCTTGCATGCTCTTGCCCGTGGTTTTGCACGGATTGAAGACAGAATTAAAGACATTCATTTCTAACTTCTGCAGGGCCTGTGTCTGAGGGCTGTGTAGAGTTGTTACCTCACTATAGCTGTAGTAGTGTAGAAGCAGACTCGGGTAACCCCCCATCATTTTGCGTAGCCATGGTTATCAACTTTCTCATTGGGATTGTCTGTACCAAAATAAAAGCACATTTGCTTTAGTGCCCAAAGTGCCTGAAGCAGCCTTGAGGGGCAGAGCTGAACACAACACTGAACCTGTGGATCTGCTGGGGTGTCTGGAAGAATGAAGTTGCCTTCTATACTGCCCCTTCATTTGCACAGGTGAAGCTCTTGCCACACAAGACAACCTTTAAGCTGCAAGTGGTGTTAGTCAGCCCTGCACGCTCACTTTTTCATGGCCGGTTATCTTTGTGTTGGGTTCCCCAGTGCTTCAAAGGAGTAAGACTGACAAGACTAGGCACAGTAGGTAGTCTCTGTGGGGGTTGCAACCTCTACACGTGCAGATGACAGGAAAGACAGACATCTCTCTCCATCCCTGTGCCTGCAGCTAGCATCTGGTGTCTCCGAGGGGCAGAGCTGTCTGTGATGCAAGTGAACACCAATCAACAGATCTGCGCCCAGTTTGACTTTCAGAACAACTTGACGCTTCAGGTCCGTCCGGATGGAGGTCGGGTGAGTGCAAAGGGCTCTAAGCTCATTTTTCTAGGCCATTGTTTCTGCTTTCACTGTCATACAACAGAGTTATTGATTAAAAGGTATGGACTGGTTAGAAGAGTTGATGAAATCGGGCTTGAGACCTGCTGTTGTTTCCAGTTTGCTTTACACTTGTGTGTAACCATGTACAAACTGCTTACTTAATCTTGGTTTCTCTTTCACTCTTCCCATCCTTCTGGTTTTAAGAATCGTTGCTCTCAAGTGCCTGGCACATGTCTTGTTCTGGATGTTACTTAAAGCAAGTAAATATAGGAGTTTTTGCATTCTGCTTGACAGATATGACATTTCTAGTCTGTAACTCAACCCTTCCTTTTACTTCCAGTTCCTTCTTGTACGCTCTTGCTGTGGAGGAAAGCGCCAACCTTGCGGCTGGTCCTTCAGCTTACACTCAGTCTGGGAAGCTTGTCAGAAAAATGCTGAGCATCCACAGCTCCCTTCATGAACAGTAAGAATCTGGAGATCGTTGCTTACCACGCAGAATTTGGCCATAGTTCACTTACCGTCTGGAGCCAGTACCCCTCCCAGGATTTGCACAGCATTCCTGGTGTGGAAAAGAGTATAGATTGAAGAAAATAGGTATGGAATGACCAGGTGCAGATCTGTGTAAGTGCAGTTCTAAATGCTTAGCGCTTGCACAGCACTGCAAGATTCATACTAGACTAAAATGTCTGTCTCAAAACTGCGTGTTTTAGCCTCATTGCCCTTCGGTTCAGAATGAATTTAGTGGAAACTCCACACAGTTTGGCATAAGACTGTTGTATTAGCTCAAAGATCCCAGGAAATAACCACTTTTCTCATTTTGAACAGAAGAGTTTGGGAGAGACCGAGGAACTGGTACATTTAATACGCTTGAGTTCCATTTCTTTATAGTCAATCTTCAGAAAAAGTCATACGGAATGAGGGAGGGAACACAGTGAAACAGGGCCAAGTCAGCTGTTGATTTCTTGTGAATGTTTCTTTCAGTGGAATTTCAGTTTTGACCGTTTCGAAGTGGAACCTGGCCAGACTTACCAGGTGACTGTCTACCACCTGCCCAAACTGGGTATGCATGGAGACTACAACTGCAAGTCCACGTCTCTCACAGTTCCTGGTAAGAGACGCTCTAGTTCATTGGGGCCTTGAGGTTAGGACTGTGAAGGTTTGTGGACCTGTGGGTTGGGGTTTTTTCCAGACTAGATCATGATCTGTGAGCAAGTTTGGCAATAGGGTGGCATATTATAAAAACATGTCCTTTCTGAGTATTGCTGTTTGGAAAGTCCATGGTGCTAGCCTTATCTACAGTACCCTTGGGCTATATATCCAAAATGCATGTACTGTGTTGTCCTACAAGTCACCATGCTTTCTGGGATCCTGTGTCCAGAAGTTTGTCAAATCTCTGCTTGGAATAAAGTGCATGTGGAGGGACTAGTCTGTGATGACCAGCTCCTTTGATTCTGGTTGACTGTAGGTCTTACATGGAAGATATTACTATAAACATTTTTATATGCTCCCTAGAAAACTCGACAAAGACTTGAACTTGGGCATCTGAGTTCTGAGAAACTGCTTCTGTACCTTGCCAAGAATTCTGCTACAGCTATGGCTAAAGAGAAATTCATAATTAAACCTGAAAGCTAGTAGGTGCCCCTCTGAGGGGCTGTTTGAAGATAAGTTACATCTCCCAGACCTCGTTGCTGAAATGTTTGCCAGTGGAGCAGGCACAAAGATACTTCATCCTCGTGAAAAGGGCTGTGGATTAATCTTTTGTGCTCTCTGCAGACTTATTGCTGCTGCTTTTACTTAATTTTGAGTCTTCCAAAGTTGCCCCTTTGCTTCCAGATCGGGAGCAATAAAGTTTGGTTTCTAGTGTTAAATTTTAGATATGTGAAGTTTGATTTCGAAGACATGGTTGGGCATAATTTACCAAGAAACTTGACAGAACTGAGTGCCTGACCTTTTCTTGGGTATGTGAAAGTTTTCCTGTAACTGAAAAGAATGTGTTTTGTTGTTTTCCCTGAAGATGCTGAGCATCTGCAGTGCCCTCTGGCTGCACTGATTAGTTTATAAATACTTGGCACTGACTACAGCTTGAAAACTGGTTCATAATTTTCTTCTTAACTTGCTGATAGTTGTCCAGGTGACTTTGTAGTTATAAAATGGCCAAGTATGCAGCATGTCAATCAGAGTGAGATGGAAAAGGAGAGGGGTGGCACTTGTTTTTCAGCCCTCTTATCCTTTCTTACACCTGGTCATACTGCGAACTTCCTGGCTTTCATCCTCCCCTCTTCTACAGACACGTGTTGAGCTCGGCAGCTGGAGGAGCTTTGCTGATCAGAGCTTATGTGTGAATTACAGGGACGCTGTAAATTTTCCAACTTTGGAATTGGAAATTTAAGATATCTAATGTTTTCTTTCAACCGTTTAAGCAGGGAGTTGTTCTTTTCCTTTGTGTCCAAACCCTGGAGGAGAGAGAGGCGTAGTTTAGGCTGAGATTTGTAAATCCCACATTGCTAAATATTGAATGTGTAAATCTGCATTTGACTGTGGGGAAAAAAGTCCCAAAGAGCAGTGCCAATCTGCTAAAAAAAAGAATTATAAAAGTGGAAGATTTGGAATCAAGAAAAGATTCCAGCTGCCTCATTTTCCTGGGGCAGAATGCTTGTGGAGGAGTCTGTCACCGTGGTGCTCTCAAAGTCCACAGAAGCTTTAATTCCACTATGACCCTCTCTGCACAAGCCTTACGTTAGCAAGAACTGTCAAATGTTACTGTTATAAGTAGTAGTTTATATTTTCAGTCTTATTAATTCTCTGTGGTCTGGAAAAAAAAACCAAAACACAGCCCCTCCAGCGATCTCGTGGTGGTGGTTAGTTTGTACACTGGAAACCAATCCTGTTCTGCTGCAGAATTTTGCTACTGCCCTGGAGCAAAGATCCCTACTCGTCAAAGAGGGCATAGTTAGCTGTCTGGCTTCTGCTAAGAACATGGGTGGGTTTTCCTAATGGAAGTACAATGTTTCTGACTAGTCACTGATGGTCTTTCTTGCAGACTGCATGGACCCTCTAATGAAAAGGACCGTCCCCTGTGTAGAGACAGGTAAAGATTTTTGTGTTTGAGTCATGCGGACACGGGCTGCTCTGAAATATTTCTGACAATTGAGAAACTTGGGAATATCTCCGCTACTTCCAGGCAGTTTGTGGGAGCCCCAGATCCAAGGCAAAAGTCTAGATGATACAACTCTGCTCGTGAGGTTTAACCCCTGGATGGAGTCAGCCCGGTACGAAATTCACGTGGCCAGTTTCCTGAATGAGAAGAAGTGTAAAACAATCACACATGACTTCACTGAGGTAATTACCCTCCTAAATGATATCCTCTCTGGTAATTTGGACAAACATCTCTTTAACGGTTGCTAAACAAGGAGTTAGAGCTGTGCTGTGGGAGAGGTAACACATGCACTTGTACAGCCGTTTTCCAGGAATTTTCACAGATATTTTTAATTACCTTTGGAAAGGGGAACTTTTATCCACCAAATTCTTGAAATAAAGATCAAAAAGATGTTTTCTAATGCACGGAGCAGTCTGTAAACATCTGCAAAGAAACCCAAATCTGATATTTGCCCGTGTGGATTTTACTACCGTTTTCAAGCCAATGCCTGGGGAAATAAGACTTACTGAAAACTTACACCTGAATTTTGGTTGACTAAATCACTGAAGTAGTCTATCAAATGTGATGACGTGGGGGATGTTAATTAAATCTTTTAGATTAAGAATGAGCGGTTTTGTAACAAATGCTTCAATCAAACTGAGAATTGATTCTTGTAGGTCTTACACCCTGTGTTGCTCAGAAGCTTAAAGTAGACCAGGGCATCTTCCGATTTAAGAAATGTTCCCCTTCAGGCAACTGAAGGATGAGAAATACTGAATATTTGGTACCAGCCCCCACCTTTCCTTGGGGGAGAGAAGAATCACAGAGTGGTTTGGGTTGGAAGGGACCGATATATTGGCATTCAGTTTGCTTAACCTTTCCATTCCTTCCACACTTAAACCCTTTTGTACTCCATGCACTGATACGTATTAAGTTACTGCTGACACAGCTATACAGCTGTGCGTGTATTTCCCTGGCAAAGAGGAATAAACCTCGTTTTGGAGTATGTACCTGCTAATCATTGTAAAGAATATATTTAGATGATCCTGATAATTGTGTACAGCGGGTAACAAGGACAACTTAATTGTCTGTTCTAGTGTCAGAAGCGGCAGTGTTGACAGCTTTTTTTAATTAAACACGGAAGCTTGTTAATGTTTGCAGATTAAATAACTAAAGACAGATTGTTAAGGAACTGTAAGGTTAAGTTAACACATTTGAAGTTATGTGATGTGTGTCCTTAATTGTTTCCTGTTACCTGTGCAACCTTAGCCTGCTGTCTTAATTGCATTACCGGGTCTGTCACATGGGACACCTGCAACGATGGTGCCCAGACCATTTATCCCTTTTATTCTCTGTGAGCTTCATGATCCCAAAAAAAAAACCAAACCCACCACCAATCTGCTTGTTTGGACCACTGCCTTCTCATGTTGACTCCCTTTCTTTTTTCTTGCTTTCATTCCATTTCCTTCCTCTTCTTATAACTTGCATCTGTGCTCTGCAGGGTGGATTGCAACAGCCAGTGAATGTCACAATCAAAATAGAGAAGAACATAAGGGCTTGCTGCAACTACAAGATACAGGTGGGATCTCGCTGTTGTTCCTGCGTCTGTCCTTCGCCAACACGGCGACGAGCAGCTTAGGAACACTTTGCACAGTGTTTTGTTATGAGATTGGCTAGTCCGTAGTTACCTCTGTCAGGGAAATAACGATTATGGGTGAAAGAACAACTTCTTTATATAAGGATTCTCTGTAGACAGTGGCCTTTCCTCCGTATGGGGGTGCCGAGTCAGAGATGATGGAGTGGGAATGGCAGGTGTGCAAGCTCAGGAGCTCCCCTTAACGTAAAACCTAAGGGTTCTTGATGAATCTTGTTTTCTGAAGGGAAGTAGGAATTCTGTGTCCCTGCACTAAAATACAGGAATGTAGAGGCAGGGGGAAAGTAAAGCGGAGGAAAAAATTGCTATTAAGAATAGCTTCTGTTTTTTCTGAATTTCTCAACTGCAGATTCAGCCGTTCTTTGCGAGCTGTGGCACAGACTGCCTGAGACACTCTGCTTTCATCCCGTGTTCACCAGCTCCAAGTGAGAACTGCTTTTCTGTAAATCGGTTTCCGTTGTCTTGCAGACGAGACCTGAATCGTTAATGTAACTCTCTTCTTTTACAGGTACAGACCCATCAGGTAAGAAGTTCTTCCAGTACCTTGGAACTTTTTTTGCTGGTCTTTTCCTGTCGTATAGAATAACAAATGATCCTCTCTGGGAATGACCCGATGGGCAGGAAAATGACCCCTTTGTAACACTGAATTCAGAATGAGTTGTGTTAAGAGTTACTTCACCATAACTTAATGAGGCAAGTATTTGTATGCAGCGCGAACCTCAGAGCAATTTTCTTAAGAGATACTTCACTTGCATAAAACTCTTTGAGAAACAGTTTTGACAAGAAGGATCTTAATATAAAATACTTTCTGTCACTTTGCTCAGTGTTAAAAAATTTGCATAATATAAAGCAGCTTTTGGAGAGAATAGCTTGCATATATTCATTTTTATGAATGTCAAGATAAATCATGTGCATAATGATTTGACATCTTTTTTTTTGGCTGCCGCAACACCTGTAAGGAGCTAGTTTGCCCAAGATTTAAAAAGAAAAACACCTGTAGGTTGAAGAAGCCCACATCACCCAAAATGGTGGGGTGTTTTTTTTTTTAAATTAAGATAGATTACATAAACGGGCAGGACATGAGCGGCATGCCTGTCAAAGCTGGATAAATATTGCTGTTCGGGGGAAGGTTATTGATCTGTGTTTTCAGTGGGCTGCACATATGGTTCTTTATGGAGCAAGCTTCTGGTGTCGAACAGCATCGTGAAAGCAGGAATTCATTCTGAGAAGTGACTGTGGTATGTTGTAAGGGGGAAGTGCCGGGCTAGATGTGGTTTTAGTCAGAGCCAGGGTCCTTCTCCCTTGGCTCCTGCTGCTCAAGAAACTCCTGTTCTTTGCTGAAACTCTGTTTGTGTAAAGCAGTGTCTGAGTGCTATTTTTGTACTGCAGGTGATATGATTATATGGCTCTACTGGTGTATCACTGGGATCTGTGTGTTACTGGTGGGATCAGTCATAACTGGTGTGATTTGTATGACCAAAAAACGAGCAGGTGAGACTCATACCAGCTAGGAAGAAAAGATTCAGTGCTAAAACCATATTGTTTCCTGCTTCTGTACCTATTCCTATTGCTGTTTTCTTCCTTGCTGTTCTGATGTCTTGCCACTGAGATGATGCCTATGTAAACACCACCTCCTGTGTTACGTCATGGGACTTGTAACATCCTAATACCATCAACCTGGTTAAGTAAAGCCTTCCATGGGTTATATTATCTGATACTCTGTTTTCACAGTGCTTCAGAGCTCAGGAGAGGAAAAAGGAACTTCACAGTTCAGCCCTTTGTTTCCTGCAGATTGTGGATGGATGTCTTTTCCAATTATTTTTCTCCTGCATTGCATAAGAGTTTTGCAGGACAGAAGCTTCCTGTTTGTTCAGACTGTAGTCTTCCTCCTGTCCCTCAAAGTCTCTACAGAATTCATTTTTATACTATTTTGAGCTTAAATAATGTTTTTCAATTAAGATGGAAGAAAAACAGGACACAGAGGTTGACTGAGTGAGTTGGAAAATCGGGTGTTTAAGGACTAATTCCCAGTCTTTTGTGCTGCAACCATGGGGCAGTTACCACAGGGAAACTGTGCAGCTCACTGGGGTGTTTTTACCACCCTAGTGGTAAAAACATTACTCATTACAATGGAAAATTTCCTAACATCCAGCTTACCTGTAAGATGTAGCTAGGGATGCTTTAGTTGCCTCTTCAGAGAAGCCTCTTAAGAAAAACTATCTTTAAAAAAGCCTCCTCTCCTTAAGGAGAGGTAACAGAACAAGTGGAGGTTCTGTATTTCTTGAGGCTGGCCAGATCTGGGGAGGATAAAGAAAATTGGTTTTGAGTGCATTCCTTTCCCTCTCAAAGGAAAAGTGTAGTGAAGTACATGGCAAAATTGGCTGTAGAAGAGTCTATTCATTTAGTATATGGTGTTTATTAGGCTGTGTTTTAATCCCTGCACAGTGTAAGAGGGATTTTTAACCTAATCTTTGGAAGGTCTTGCCATTTTAATGGTTTAATCTTACTTCACGTTTTCAGAACTGACAGTGCTTTTCTGTCTTCCAGGACACCAGCGAGGGAAATACAACCACAATGATTTGCAGACTGGTAAGGTGTCCTGCCTGCGTGTTATCTAGCACATGTGAATGCCTTCTGGAAGTCACACTCATTTGTCCAGAAGGGGCTCTTGTAGGCTCTACTGCTCTCTAGGTGCTTCTCAAAATCAAAAGGCAGCCTTAGGATCTTCCTGTTTAGCTAAAAGAAACTCTGTAATATCCCATAGCCTTGGACAGAGAAACATGGAAGTGGAAATGCCATATGTGGCAGACAGGAGATAACTGCATCGTGATGTGGTGAGGCTGAGGCTGTCCTGACAAAAGAACCTTTGCTCATCGCCTAAGCCACAGCACTAGGGGATTGTTTGGGGTGGGGGCACTCAGCTCTCCAGCTTACAGCTATGTTTTCAAGCCTCTTGAAGCTGGTGTGTTGTTTTTGTGTGGTGAAATTCCATGAACCATCCAGCCAGCGTTGTAAACCACAGGTCCGCTGTCTGGACTTGCGTATTAAATTTATGCAGTGAGATGTTGTCTGTGCATGTTGCCAAAACAGCTTCAAAACTGGTAGTTGCTAGAACCTTTTGTTAATTATCTCCCGTGTTGATTGCTGCCGAGTTGCACCCCTACATTTTGGGGATGTGGCTGGGATGAATATTTTTCTGTCTTTCAGCAGCACCATATACCGACCTTCCTCTGCCCCCCTTGAAGCCCCGCAAGGTCTGGATCGTGTACTCAGCCGATCACCTGCTGTACGTGGACGTGGTGCTGAAGTTCGCCGAGTTCCTGATGACGGTCTGTGGCACTGCTGTAGCCTTGGATCTGCTGGAGGATCACCAGATCTCAGAGTTAGGGCCGTTACCCTGGCTTACTCGGCAGAAGAAGGAAATGGAAGACCTGTCTTCCAAGATCATCATCTTATGCTCACGGGGCACCCAGGCCAAATGGCAGGCCATGCTTGGGAGTGAGCCTGTGTGTCTCAGGCAAGATCAGCAAAAGCCCACGGGAGACATGTTCACCCCGGCCTTGAATTTGATCCTGCCAGATTTCAAGAAGCCAGCTTGTTTTGGAATGTATATAGTCTGTTATTTTGAGGGGATAAGTAGTGAGAAAGAGGTACCTGATCTGTTCAACGTCATCCCCAGGTACCAACTGATGGAAAAGTTTGAGGATATTTATTTTCGGATTCAGGATCTGGAGAAGTTTGAACCTGGGCGCATCCATCGAATCCAAGAAATCACAGCTGAGAATTACATCGATAGCCCTAGTGGGAGGAAGTTGAAAGAAGCAGTGCAAAAGTTCAGGAACTGGCAGACTGAGCACCCGGACTGGTTTGAGAGTGAAACCATCTGCTTGGACAGTGATGAAGAGTTGCAGTCCCTGAACAGAGAGAGCCAGGTGGATTCGTTGCTGAGTGAACCAGGTGGAATTGTGAAACACCAGCTGCACCTATGGGAGCCTGACTGCCACTGCTCTTACGTCGTCGACCTCCACATGCATGACGGTGAAACTGGAGGCTGTAAACTGCAGCCTCAGCTTAATCCCTGTGGGGATCTGACTGCTCAGACTACGGTCCTTCCTATGGATGAGGTTCCTCTAATTCAGGTAGTGGAGCCAGTCCCTTCCATGGAAGATAGAAATATCCTTGGTCATCATGTGCTGAGTAATGAGGACCGTGTGGAAGGAGTTCCTCTTCTGGAGACAAGCTTTCCAATGAGGAATAACATCCTCCTCCACGATGACTCTGAAGCTTCAGCAGTAGATGACCAGAGCCCTTCAAACCTCTCAGGTGAACTGAGACACCACCTGAACGGACTCATGTACTCTCTCTATCAGCAGAGCGTCATTCATTCGGAGCCGTCTCGCTGCCGAGAGGAGGCTGACCAGCAAGACCAGTTGGTCTTTGATGACCAGTGCAAAGACCAAAGACAGTCAGTGCAGTCAGACCAGGGCTACATCTCTAGATGTTCTCCTCTGCCTCCTGATGACCTTGTGGAGGAGGAGGAGGAGGAGGAAGAAGAGGAGGATCAGGAAAAGCAAGTGGTCTTCCATGAACTCTCTCCAGAGGTCTTGAACAGTCTAAAGAGCCTCCAGCAGCAGCTGTTTTTCCAGGACATTCAACGGAGCTCTGACTGGGGGTATCCATCCGAGGTGATGGACCTTGGCCAGTCTTTGCAGGACTGTTAGGCTCTATCTGGGACCATTTGAATATAGGGATGGGAGGTGGTACCACGCACAGTGTTGAAACTGCGTTTCCAGCACCATCCTTGTCCTCGTGTGGCACACGACTTCCTGGTGGGATCTTCCTGCCTGCTGCTAGGAGGCAGGATTGCCCAGCAGACTGGTAATGTTGCTTCCAATCTCTGTGGAGAGAAGCAAGGAATATTAGCCACCCCTATGGAAGAACAGGCAGTAGTTCTGTTCCTCGGGGAGATGTGTTACGTTGAGTCCTCACTGATGGATGGCAGAAAAATTGTTATGGCTCATCCACTTGTGCCTTCAAAATGCCCTCCAGCTGCACTAGATAAAAGTCATGGCCAGAGTTTGGAAAGCAGGTTTACAATCATGGAATCTTTAGGCTGGAAAAGACCTCTAAGAACATCAAGTCCAACCGTTAACCTAACACTGCCAATGCCACCGCTGACCCATGTCCCTAAGTACTTTGTGTCTGAAGTGCCTCCAGGGATGGTGACTCGGCCACCTCCTGGGCAGCCCGTTCCAATGCCTGACCACACTTTCAGTGGAGAATTTTTTTCCTCATATCCAGCCTAAAAAATATCCATGGTATGTAAGTAACATGGCAAAATTTGCATTGCCATTTTAACACACATTTTAAACATCTCGTTGTAAATACTGTGTTCAAGGTGGGTGCCTCAGCTGGGTCAGGGCTACCTCTGCCTGGTCGGCACTGGTATCTGGAGGGTTTCTCTCTTGCCACTCATCCGTTCACTTGCTGTTGCCTTCCCGTGGCCGTTCAGAAATCAAGTGGAGTAACTGAGCAGTAAGTGGGATAAACTTTTAAATTCGGAGTCTCCATAACTCTTCCTACCTTCCCACTGGGAGGTATGCGCTTGAAAACCAGCAACGGGAGGAGAGTGAAAAGGGAATAATGGACCCCAAAAAATTGGGATTTGGGCTGCTTATACAATTTTAAGAACCTGGGACTGAATACAGAATGGCCAAACCAAGGGAATCTGGTGTGTGCTGTAGTGCACTGCTGCAGTGCTGTGTGCTTTTGGACATCTTAGCACCAGGAAAACTTGGAGAGGTAGATAGTAGCGCACCGCTAAGAAAATAAAAGACTATTTTGGAGGAAAAAGTGTAGCTTCAGCAGATGCTTGTTTTGGAGTGGAGATTATAAGTGTTAGGGGAGGCTGAGCTGAAAACAGGGGAAGATGTACTTAGGTGGGTACAAACTCAGCACAGGCAGTTCAGGTTAACCACTGTGAAATGGTTAATAGACTTCAGGGGTTTGTCTTCCCGGAGCAGCGATGGTAACACTATCCATTCCAGTGGTTTTAAAAGATTGGGCGTGATGCACTAGGAAATCATCATTCCCTGTGTGCGATTGCATCTTGGCCCATGCAGCACTGGCTGGGTAGCAGCCTAGTTGAGGCTGGCCTTTACCCTATTTGTTATCGCTGTTTCTGTAGTCCAGCCTGCTGGATAACAGCTTGTGGGATGTAAAAACATCCAGGTCTTCCTCCTTCGTTCAGACAAGCTTGTCATCTTCCTGTCCTTCTAAGTTTGCTTGTCAAAAAATACTGAGGATTTTATTTCAGCGTTTTAAAAATCAGATATGTCAGAAAATATGTTCTTCTTGACTCACAACCAATATTGCCTTATGTATATTTTATAATTTTATGTGTTTCTGATTTGTGTTTTGTTCCTTTAAATTAAAAAACAAGAACAGTTTTTGGATCTACTTACTTAAATACTTTTATGTCCTCGATTCTGCCTAACCCCTTATGTTACTGTTTCTTAGGGAAAACTGAGCCAGAACTGAAGTGGTTGACAAATGCCAAAACATTCCTGCAAAGCGCTGCAGCTGGATCCAGCGGAGCCGGATAACAGCTTGGGGGATGTAAATACATCCAGTGGAGCTGGATCCAGCCGAGTGCTCTCGTGTGGGAAGTGCATGCTCCTTCAAAAGGGCTGTTAAAGGAGGTGAACGTTCGTCCCTTCTGTGCAGGGCTGCTGCGTGAGGCAGGGCTGTTAGAGCAGCTTGCTTTCTCTGCGGCCAGGTGCCTGCGAAGGCTGACAAAGGGACCGTCCCTGCGAGGATTCCAACAAAGGGTTCCGCCTTTGTTTCCTGTCTGTGCAGGACCTAACCCAACAGGAGCTAAGCAGGAGGCAGCTGTGGTCTCGGTGCTGCTCCAGTGAGAAGCCAGTTCTCAGATTATGTGAATAATTGGCATCCTCATGATCCCACTTCTTTTATCTTACTGCAATTATCATATAAATCTACTTCTTTTTTTTTTCCCCATGAGCGTTTCTCAAGTGGTATGAATTCCTATAAATCATTAGAATAGGAAGCTCAGAAGTGTCATCTGGATTTTCTTGCCTTAGTCATTCCCTTCTCAAATAACTCCCTTGGTGTTACAGTTTTTAGAATTCACTTTCACTTGCAAGAAGTTTGTTCGAAGGAAAAATGCAGATTTAGCAACCCAACATGAGGAAATCAAGTGACTTTAATGCATCTGTTGGTCCCTGAATGCAAAATTGAATAGCCCTGCAAAGACTCAAAGGAGGGAAAAAAAGAGCAAAATCAGTCACAAGTTTCTAATTTTATTTTAACAATCTTGCTTTTTAAAAAATACAAGTTCTGATTAATGCCGGGGGATGCCAAGTGTCCGCAGGCCACGGGCCTTATCTCTCACTTCCAGTTTCCCCTCCTGGGAGTATCCGTCTCTTTTGTCAGGATGGCAAACGGGGAGCAATAAAATGCCAAAGAGCTGAGTTGTGTTGGGAGGCTCGTGACAGAATCCCAAGGGATGTATGACTTGGTATGGCACAGCTCCCTTTTACAACGCGTTTCTGACCGGGACCGGTAGCTTAGCGTTGGCAGGATGTAGGGTGGGTGTGCGGGGTGCATGGGGTGAGGTATCTCTCTCCTGCAAACGGATCTGTTACGGGGCAGAAGGGTTTAAGTGGACGTGAGAGCTCAGTTACCAAAGAGAAGGGAATTCAAAAGGAGGAGCGGGCTTATAAACAAGACATGGAAGGGCGTTAAGTGTTTCTCTCAAGTAATTAATTGAAGTGGCAGCAGAGCCGCCCTTGCAGTGGCACGGGGGCTTCCGTACAGCCAACTACTAGGAGAGCTCTACGCTCTCCAAACAGCACATTAACAACCTAGAAACCACGGCACTACAAAGAACCACTCTTTCTACAAAGGAATTCTGCTCCGCAGAAGCATCGTTCTGTCTGTATCCGCTGAACTGTGATTTCGCTGTCAATGGTTTGAATATGCCATTTTCTCAGTAATGTCTTCGATGGAGAAAGGCACTCGCTGTTGCAACAGCAGCTTTGCTGTGTGCTGTGAAGGGGTACCGAAGTAACGCTTGTCAGTGATTCTGTTGTGGTGGTTCTAGCGTCTCAACTATGCTTACGCTTCAGCGTATCAGGGATGTTCTATGCGCTATCCTGAGCTTGGCCGTAGGAGCAGCAGAACGTAGGTGGGGGTGGATAGCGCTTTTTCTTTTCCTTCACCTTGTTTTTGGCAAAAATCATTTGGTTTTGGTTTTTTTTTTTTCTTCAGCTGTTTCACTGAAACATGGAATACTTAAATACAGGTATCGCCTCATTCTCCCTTGAATAATACTGTCGTTCTTTCTGAACTTTCACTGCCTGTTTAACGCTGAAAAAGGAAGGTGTAAGGAAACAAGTATCTGTACAAGCACAACAGAGCTGTAATTACACCTCCTTTGGCCAGGAACTTAGCATCCCCTTGACACATCTCACACCACATAGGAAAAGTTCACAGTACCAAGTTTTACAATCACAGTCACTCACAGCACCAAGATTGTCCAGACAAAAAGAAGTTACTGAAGAGAAAGGCCACCGGCCAAAATTCACACGACTGCCCACCTAAGGGCTCAGGTTAAAAATAAAGCACTGGTGGGAAAGTTAATCCCAGCCTCTGCTGGCTCTCCCTTTGGCGTGGGGAGAGCCGCGAGTCCCCATCGTAGCGCAGCCCTGAACAGGACATTGCTATCGCCCCGTCTTTTCTAGCCCCTTGAAACCCCTCAGCTGCCTGAGAGCTGTAAACATTTTGTGGTAGCGGTCCCCTGGAGCAGGCAGTTGATCCCACTCTGCGAGCAGGGAGGTGGGAGAGGGGCTCGGTCCCACTGAAGCGCGAGCGCTGAAGGAAAGCAGGGGTGCGTGTGCAGAAGGCCGGGCCGTGCCTGTGGTCTTCCCGTTGGCTCTGGGTAGCGGCTGGTTGTGCTTTACTTCCCCTTCCCATCGGGACAGCTTGAAAAATGGCTCAAGATGGGAAACGGGTGTTTTCCCGATGAATGCAGCCCTGCCCAGATAACATCCAAGCCTGGGAGGGGTAAAGTCCATCCTCCGAACGTGGCCTCCGCACTCGGGTTTTGGCTGGGCTGGTTCAGGAGCAGCAGGAGAGCAGGCCTTAACCCCCACCCAACATTCACGGGGCTTAAAACCCAAAATAACCGTATTTCTGTGAGCAGTTACTGGTTTTCTCCACCTACCAGTAACCACGTGCTGGCGGAGGACGGGGTGCGTGGGATTTCGCTGGAGCCCCTCCGCCCCGAGGGGTCCCGCGACGCTTCACTCTCTGTGCCTCCAGGTGAGGTGTCCGAGCGCAGGGCCTGCCCCGGGCGGCGCTGGCATCCCCTCCTTGGCTCGCTGGTTTGAGGGGGGGCCGTTTGCAGGCTTCACCCCCTCTCCGCTCTCTCAAAACAGATGGGGAAGGGGGCCAGAGGAAATTTTCCCAGCCTTCCTGGCCTGTGTAAAGGGAGACCCTATGCTCTGCGTAAAAGAAAACCAACACTGATCCCATAAACATGCATATTCACAGAAAAACGAGAGCCCCAGCACCTGGGCGCTGGTGGCCGAAGGAAGCAGTAGGCTGCTGTAAACCCTGTTCTCACCAGAAATAAATGTCTCGGGGGGTAGTGAAACGGGGTCTACGCCCCTGGATTATGTCCATGCCGGATTCGCGT